TATTATTACGTTAAACATGAGAAAACAATTGCTCCTACCGTACACGTCATCCCAAAAGCTGAGTCTCTGTTGAACCTTTTCGCTATTTCCCAGCGCAACGACGCAAATTGTACATCGATCTGGATAAACTATAAAGAAAGATATCCACATTTAATTTTAAAACATTAAGCCAAAACTACTAAGGGAACATCATTTGCCTTTAAATATTGGACATTACTGAAATTTTCCTATCAAAAGCCGCAGTGGAAGAGGGTGTTTCAGCTGATGAAGGACAAACTAACTGAATCTTCAAGGCCGTTCCTGTAAGCTAAGTAAACTTCCTATCAAGGAATTAAAGTGCGCAGACGAACAGAATGACCCCAAGATAGAATCTTGTTCCCAGAAGCCGTGATCGTTTTGGTCCTCACCAAGGATCACCCACCCGCTTTAGGATAACTCGACAAAAAACCATCTCTGAATAGCCGATAAAAACATGCTCGCGGTAGAGTCGGTAAGGCAGGCTCTGGGGAGGAGATTGATCGAGGTCTTTCATCAGACTGACAGAGGGATGAAAAGCTATTTCCTATTCGCAGTAGTCTTAAAACAGGCGTAAATTCAAAATATCGATCGAAAGGGTCAATCTAAATCTTAAATTTACAAACTTTTGCAGTCGAGATGAGGGATGCGGTATCCCCGTGGAAAATAAGAGCGGGAATGCGGGATCAAGACTTCCTCCCCTTCCATGCAGACCCTGAAACTTGTCATTAAGAAAATCGACGTAAATCTTACCACAGCCTGTTGGCCTCAGCCACTTGTCCCTTGCCAGCAACACTGTGTCCAACATAGACTCAAAAAGGAGAAAGTAGCCCTAGAATGATTTAAAACACTTTTACTTCCAACTTATGAATGTTTGGCGTGTTTTAAAAGCAATTAATCCGACGCTTTTTTTCGGAAGGCTCTCTTAAGAGTTGTATTATTATTGTTTTATTATTTAAAAACAATAAAAGCACTCAGCAGAAATACAGTTACAGGTAGACAGAAAAGTAATAAAAGCCTACACTGTAGTTTGAACTTACCATCCACTCTGATATGATAACATCTACCTAAACATGACAGAACAAAAATGAATTAAATCAAATGAAGAATGATCCTCGCAGTAGTGAACGCAATTTATGAAATTGCGTAAGAAGCCTGAAAAAAAATTCAGGAATTCAACGGGGTTTGAACCCGTGACCTCGCGATACCGGCGCGATGCTCTAACCAACTGAGCTATGAAGCCACTGGTATTGCATGGGAGCTGGTCAATTATATATTTATATGTTCCCGTGAAAGAGATGAATGTGATAAATGTATATGAAATAAAGAACTGCAGAAGTAAAATCAAATGAAGAATGATCCTCGCACGGGAACATATGAACACATAATTGACGAGCTCCCAACATCAGTGGCTTGTACCATGCACGCCCGTTTAACCCTCGACCACAAAACGAGTTTATTCCTACTAAATGCTCGGGCCCGCACGACTAGGACATGAAAACTTTCCAAATTTTACGTTTTACGAAAAGGCGTGAACACAAGAAAACGGCTTTATTTTTCTTTCCTGAGCTCAGTCACAGTTCTTCAGCATTCAAATCTAGACTGAAAAGATACAGCGAAGCCTCTCTTTGTATTCTCTTCAAATCAAAAAAGTTACGTACCTTCTCAACCGGTAATGTTACTGCTTCCGCTTTTCCTTTTACCAAAGTAATGATATTTTCCAGCCCATTTTCCCTAACGCACAACAGAAACAATAAAAAGTGTTTTTAAGCATAGCAAAGTAATGTTGGATTGTTAAATTAGGTTGTAAAATTTCTCGAAAACTGACTGTGAAGTGTGTTGTTGGTAACGCCGCTGTCGTTATCTCTGTAGTCAATAATTAGAGAGCTTTAGATTCGAGGACGAGTACGACTACGAGTACGAGATTTTCTCAAAACTAAGCAGGGCACGCGCCTGAACCAGCGTCATTTTGGCGGGAGAACGTGGTAGCCGTGTAAGCCGTTGTCACTCTACAACGGGTTGGCGGGAACAAGTTATCAAATGTAAGAGGTTTTTATTTATCATTTTGCCATCGAGAGAGGGCTTAACCTCCTTCAGTATAAATAACTGTACTAACTTTTTTGGTGAAAAAAAAAAAGAAAGTAAAATGAAGCTTTCTAGGGGTCTTTTTTCAGAACACGCAAACGTTCACGTCCTCTAAAGCTCTCTATGGTCGCTGTCGTTCTTGTTACGGCTCTTTCCGGTTCAGCTTCAATAAAATTGAGGCAAAACTGATAGAATTCGAGGAGTAATCTAAAGTTTTACCTAACAATATCCATAGCTTGATAAATAATCTCTGATTGGTCGATTCCTATCACATGTTTGGCCCCAGCCTTGGCAGCGAACATGGAGAGTATTCCTGTGCCACATCCAATGTCTAAAACAACCTTACCGTCGAATGAGAGAAGAATAAGAGAAAGATCAATGGGGACTTTTACCTGGATGTACAAGCTGTGCATGTATAATTAGACAGCGAAAAAGTCTAAGAAAAATGCAATTTATTTGAGTGTCAATGCATTTAGCACGAAAGTAATAATTGGGGGGGGGGGGGGGGGCAATTTTTTGGTTCTACAGCGTGGGGAGAAACCCGTTTTTTTTTGGGAACTCAGGCCAACCGAAACCCCTTTCACACCCCGTTGGATGTGCAGAGGGGGCCCTTTTTTTCTTTTTATTTTTAAACCCTCTTGTTTTTGTTTGGCCCAAAAATACACACCCCACCCCCCCCACCCACCA